GAACTCACCCTGCACCGAAAGGAGCGCTCGTCTCGCTGGTCGTGCTTAAAGAGCCACCCTACTTTTGTGTGTGTGTGTGTGGGGGGGTGCAAATGTGCAAGAAGGAGGAACACGGAAGCCTCTTGGGAAACTGTGGTTGCTGAGGTTCTAGATCAGGGAAGACCCTCTCTTTGCCCCTCCTGGTTGTCTCTCCCTTTCCTGGAGAAGACCGGCTCCAAAGCTGGGGGTGTGTGTGTTCTGCAGGTCCAGCACATGTCCTCCAAGTTACATCTTTCCCCCAGAGATATGGGGGTTCACACACACACACACACCATTGAGAGGAAAGCAAAAGACCTTGCTGAATGGTGTGGTATGCCCCCCCCCCCCGCCACCACTTGTTGCCATCCATCTAGTGATGGGGAAGTTCAGTTTCTTCTAAGAAGCTGACACGTCATGAGGTCTCAATAGGAAAGCTTGCTTGTTTCTCTGTGCTGGGACAGCATAACATCAAGCTTCAGGACTCAAATCCCTGACCCTCTCAGCCAGACAGTCTCTCTTCTCAGGTCCTGTCACCCTCCCCTCTGATGGTTAACATAACTGTGTCTGGGCTGGGAAACTTTGTTGCATCCCCTGTCACACACAGTTCTGCAAGATGTTAAGGCTCCCTTGCCTTTTCCTCTTCTTTGTTCTATAGAGTTCAGGCAGCTATGGATAAAAAGGGGGTGTTAACCGAAGCGGTGAATGGCGATACGTCGCTCGACGCAAACAGAATTCATGCAATGAAATTCCCTCATCGCTACACAAAGGTATGGTGCTAGGACTTACCTGAAAATAGTCGCTTGTGCAGCTGACCCATATTTGTTGATCTTTGAGAGCCACATACACCCAGGAGCTTTCAAGTCTGTTAATAATACGTATGGATGGACTGTGTGGGAGATAATGCTGTCAATACCATAAGGCAGATTTTCGTAGTAGTGATTATACTGACATAGTGTGCAAGGAATGTGAACATTAGCATTACCAGTTGTGTCACAGAACAATTATTTCTTGGTACCTTTCTTGCAAATAGGCATAAGGGACTTCCATTTAAATCGGCTGTGGCTGCAGCAATGTTTTGCAGCGATGTTCATAGGGCTCCCAGTTACACTACTCTTCAGTTTTGGGCCACAGAGACATGTGGAACACTTGGGACTACAAAGTCCATGTGGACTAATCAAACATTTAAATATAAATAAAGGAAGGTGGACGCTTTTACGTATCAGCCTCTCTTGTGAAGTACAACAATGGTGTCTTAACTCAATTCCCTAGGCTGGCTGGGTTTCATGGTAGAATGTGTGTTACGACATATGTAGCCATGGTTGTGTCTCCAGCATGAGATGATCTTCTGTTTCCAAGAATGCTTTTCAAAAAGCATTTCATATGTTTGCTTCTGGAATGTTTTTAATTCTTTCTACTCTCTTACATTTAAAGTATTTGCCATTATTCTAAATTCATTTACCTCCAGAAGGGGAGGAGATCTTCTTCCCCACCCCAGGCAGGCACCTAAAGGTGTGATTTCCAGATCCTAAAAGTGCTTTTAAACTTAATTTAAAACAGTAGTAGAGAAAGCCATCTTGGCTAGTTGCTTGTATGAGATCTCATCTGCACTAAGTTTTGCTGATCTAGTGGGTTTTAAAATGCTGTTTCTTCTCCAGGAAGAACTCCTGGACATCAAAGAGCGTCCCCACTCCAAACGGAGACCATCATGTCTTTCTGAAAAGTATGACAGGTATGTCTAAATTTATTATGGCCACCTTTGGATATAACATTCTTGACTTATTAAGTTCATAGTTCATTAAACTGGGCACAGTTTGTGGGGACTGTATAGGGCATGCTTTCCCCCTTCTTTATTTTTCTTTAGAAACGCTTTTTTGTGGTAACATCTGTCTTTTTCTACTGCAGTTGCCAACTGTGCCCAAATATGAGAACCATGATTTAATGTCCCCTTTCTGGCATTAATCTATATTTCTGAACCAGTTTGAAGCTACAGCATTTGCCCTGACAGAGTATTAAAACCAATTGTACATAAATCATCAAGCTGGCACAGGAGTGGAGTGGCATCTAGTAGATATTCTTGCCGTATTCTGTTAAGTCATAAAAATAACTTTTCGAAAGATGGCACCTCTGGGTTTTTATCACTGCAGCTTTCCTGTCCTAGCCCTTGGTAGTATACTAACCGAAACATGTTAAACATCTGTTGAGATTCTGTAATTGGTTCATGTCAAGTGCTTGGGTCTGGACAACTTAATGTGAATTTTGCAACCTTGCAGTGATGGTGTTTGGGACCCTGAAAAGTGGCATGCCTCCCTGTACCCAAATTCCGGAAGGACCTCACCGGTTGAAGGACTTAAAAAGGACTTGGACTCAGATCGGGCTTCCCTGGTGCGCAGGGTTGTGGGTGAGTGTTCCATGGGGGTGCTTCAGCTCCAGAGTTTTGCTTACAGCTTTAGGCTGCTTTTTCAAAGATTGTTTCAAATCCTGAGCATTATATTAGATCTGGAAACCATGATATAACAAGGACAGAACACATCTTCTAGACTTCCATAGACTGAAATCCATAGCAAAGACTGACTGAAGTCCAAGCAAGTCTATAACTAACTACCCTGAACTTCAGCGCTTATTTCTGATGCTATGGTGAGGCCGAGTGACACAGATTTAGCTGTTTAAAATGGAGCTCTTTCGTCTTACTGGTTGAGCTTCTAGAATACTGAGTGGCCCTTGTCTCGCTCTTGTACCCAGTCACCCTTTCTCTGTGTCCAATGACCGTCTCTTCCCCCGTGTAGATCCCAGGGAACGGGTAAAAGAAGACGACTTGGATGTGGTGCTGAGTCCGCAGAGGCGAAGCTTTGGGGGAGGCTGTCACGTGACGGCAGCGGTGGGCTCACGTCGGGCAGGGAGCCCACTGGAGAAAGAAAGCGACGGCGTCCGGGTCATTGGCGGGCGCCGGATCGGCAGCGGGAGAATCATCTCTGCGCGGAACTTTGATAAAGATCACCGAGGTGGTGAGAAGGACTTGCGGGATGCCAGAGAGACGAGGGAGAGAGACCGCGAGAGGGACTACAAAGACAAGCGATTCCGGGTTAGTGTTCGGAGCAGAAAGAGGAACAGAGCTGGGTCTTTTATTTGCGGGGAGTGGCAGTGGGGTGTGTGTGTTTCCTCTCTTAGGTGGGGTTATTTTTGATGCACAAATGACACGGTGTGGTGGCTGACATTTGCTGTCTGTACCTTCAGGGGAGGTGGATTGTGTAAGTGGGTGTGAAAAGAGTTTGGCAGCACCATGGGGTTCAAGGAAACTGGGAAACTGGTTTATGGAGCAAAGGTTCCTAAAAGCGAGATCCCACCTTGGGGTCTGCCTACAAGGACTTCGAATGGCCTCTTCGGAATCTTGTTAGGATTGATGATACTTGAAAGCGTACATTTACGGGGTAGTTGTGGTCCAGCAGGTCCAGTTTAGGGACTGGTTTATATTTTCCTTGGAAGTGCCCCCCCTCCCTGCTTTTACTCCACCCCTGCCCTCAGATCTGGTAAGACTTCCACTTTCGGCTTGGGAACTCCTCAGCAGCATTAGACCAGTGGCCGCTGGAGTGACCTGCAGAGATGGCTTTTGTGCAGTCTTCCTCCATTCTGTTGTTTGCTGTTGGATCCGCTCTAGTGACTGATAAAAAAAAAAAGAATTCCGCAAGTGTCAGAAGGGAAAAGGGTTCGATTGTCTTCTGCCTTCTTTACAGGGCTTCTCCTTAGCGTTCTCAGAATCTTCACGTGCTTCATACTAAACAGAAGATATTGTGTGAACTCAACATTTGTCCTAACCTGATGGGTTTTTCTGTCTCCTTCCTGACACTGCAGCGGGAGTATGGCGATAGCAAGCGCATGTTTGGGGAACGGAGGAGGAATGACTCCTATACAGAGGAAGAGCCCGAATGGTTTTCTGCTGGCCCCACAAGTCAGTCTGAAACGATTGAACTGACTGGGTTTGATGATAAAATACTAGAAGAGGAGCACAAAGGTCGGAAGCGAACAAGGCGGCGGACCACTTCGCTGAAGGAAGGTACTCTGAACTAAAACCTTGAGGTCTTCAGTGGCTGGAAGGAAGCCCTTTGGGGTCCCAAAGGGGGGAGACATTTCATGGCTGCTATTTTGTTTCTCTGACACCCATCATTAAAGGTGAAGCATTAATGCCAAGCTGCTGGAAGTAAAAGGAGATGTCACTGCTTTAAAGCCATTGTTTTTTGCTGGGGGAAAAAGGCATCTCATATTTTTCTGTGGCGTAAGGTTATAGAGAGTGTGAGTAAAAGCAACTTTACTGTCCTCTGGAACGGACCAGAAGACAGTTTTATTTTATTTAGATAATTGTGCTTCTTGGATTTCTGTGGTTAAGTTTGTGTAATTCACTTGTAATTCATCTGGACCAAAAGACGGGAAGATGAAGTCTTTTCAGGGGGGCCAAGTAGGAAGGTGGTGAGAGGAAGCAGAGAGCATTTGCGGGAGATGGTTTCCGCCCTTCATCTCCACGAAGAACCTGGGCAGAGGTCCTTTTGCCTCCTTCTGCAGAGAGAACTCCTCCCATTTCTCTGATTTGAAGTTGGGGGAAGAGTATTTATACAAGAAGTGTCCAATCTGGAGGCCTTTGCTGCTGATCCAGTACATTTCCCCCTCCCACACACACAAACACTCTGCATTAAACGGCCCACCTTGGCCCCTTCCAGAACTGATTCAAAGAGAACAGGCAACCCCATCTTCCTAGTGGCGAGACTTCTTACACCACTGAAAACGTAATTTTAGCAAATCTGAGCAACATGGTTCTTAAAAGGTATGACTGTGCTGTTCCTGATCATCTTAATGTTGTCTGGAAAAGTTTTAAGGTGAAACTGGAGAGCAGTCCATATTAAATCGATATACTTTTATGGAAGCTCCCTGTGAAAAGTAGCAACAACAAAGGAGCACACCAGGAGCTGCTGCGCCCTGGGTGTCAAAAGGGTTGGCTTGTGCTGTCTCTGGGCAAGATCGCCCCTGGGCTAATTCTGGCTTTCTTCCCCAAGGAATAGAATGCAATGGTGGCGTAGCTGAAGAAGAGGAGCTGCAGACGGTCCTCGGCCAGGAGACGGCCGCCGACCAGGAGGTCCCGAGGGAAATGGTCCTGCCAGAACCGGCTCCAGGAGAGTTTGATTTCAACGAGTTCTTCAATCTGGACAAGAGCGTTCCTGGTTTGGCTTCGGTGAGTGTTCCTCTCCGTCAAAGTGGGTGTCCCTCTGCTCCTGGCAGCAGGAATGGGGCTCGGCTCATGTCGCGCTCTCTAGAAAGAGTTGCACAGCTTATTGACCAGGGACAGGACACCTGGAACTCTGGCTCTGGGTGATGCGTTTCTCTTGCATGGCCTCTCTGGATGTGGGAGAAGATCACTTCCTTTGTGCTACTTCACATCTCTGGTGAAGGTGGCACCTCCGCAGATCTGTTCTGTTTGGGACCGTCTTGCCCGTCCCCTTCCTGTGGAAAAGTGGGACAGAACTCCCTCGAGTCATGCCTCTCGTCCCAGCCAGTAAAGAAATACAGCTGGACTCCGTGCATGTTGTGTGTGTGATTTAAAATCATCTGGTCTAGCCTCCCTTTTGACCTTGCTTATGCCTTCTGAAATTCCCCAAACAGAAGCTAGGGTAAACAACAAACCTTTCCTTTGAATATGTATATCAGAAATACAGGATCTGATTTATTCTGAAAGACATATTTCTATTCTTCTAATACTGAGCTGCAATAATGACAGCTCCACAGTTTATAGCTGAAAGAGGACCAGAGGTGAGTCACCACCCACAAGCTGAAATCTGAAAGAGAATCATTTTTAAAAATATTTTTTTTAAAAAATACCACACGCAAAGAGGTCAAACCATTTAAAAAGACAAAACAGGCTAGGTGAGCGCTGGGAAGATTCATTCATGTCATAAGAGGGAGGAAAGGGATGCCCTCTTAGGCAGAACAGCCCCATGCAAGAACACCCCTTTTATTTATTTATTTATTGGACTTATATACCGCCCCATAGCGCTACAAGCACTCTCCGGGCGGTTTACAATTTTAATTATACAGGCTACACATTGCCCCCCCAGCAAGCTGGGTACTCATTTTACCGACCTCGGAAGGATGGAAGGCTGAGTCAACCTTGACCCGGCTACCTGGGATTTTAGGAAGAAGGGTGGAAGTACTCTCTTGTTAAAGCTTGTTCCACACTTCAGCTTCTTCAGACTGAACTTCCAAGAAATGTACAGGCAGGGAACTAAAGATATTTGACCGCTCTCAGCTTCTTGCAAGGTGTTCACTTGCAGGCTGAATTTCTTGTGGGTGAAAATTGCTGGAAGATATTCCCTCCCCCTCCCCCCCCAACTACACTTGCATTTAGTGCTACTGAGCTAATGTAGCTGATGCCACAAAGGTCCAGCTCAGTGCCAGATTTAAGCATGCTCTTTTGGATGACTGAACAAACCTGTCTGCGAAGTAGAACACGCGCCAGTGTGTGGCGAGTCCTGTTTGTAGGAGATCAGGACCGCTGTTACAGGCTCTCTCTCTGAGGGTGTCAGTGAAGAAGAAGCTTTTCCCCATGGAAAGCTGCTCTAAAGTGCGACGAATCAGTAAGGCTTAGCCACGCGATGGGCGAAGGCACGTTTTCTCCCTCTCAGGCCAGTCTTCTGTAGTGTGGCTGGCCTCGTCTGAGAGGTATAGAGCCCCATAACAGTTACATCGGCACAACCCTATCAATGTCTTTTCATTTGGCAAGGAGTAAGTATGTCAAGTTAAGTGGTGCACCACACTGGGTAGAATCTGTGGCTGGGATTTCTGCCAATGTCTTCCTTCGCAATTCCTGCCTCCTGTCTCCTCTTCCTGCTGACGGTGATATAACTCACCTTCTTCCCTGAGACGGGCTCAGCCCTTGCCTAAGCACTGCCTAGCCTGTCTCGAACTAGCAGCTGTGATGAAATCGAAAGAAGGGCTTCTGTTGCGCAATCTTGTTCAGTGCAAAGAGAGTTAACTATTTTGCTAGTTCATAACACTTTCATCCACCGCAGTCCAAATGTTAAAATCTAATTCCCACCATATCCTGAAAGCTGCAGGCTCTTTTACTTTATAGCTTTTGCATCTGTTTTACTTGGCTTTTTTGCATTAACTTTATACCTTCCAGTGTATTCAGGCCAAACGATTAAAATGCATTTAATGCAACCAATGCCACCAGTTCTTTGCCTTCATTAAGGGAGAACCAGTTGTATCTTGTCCTATAAATTTAGCATTGAGCCACCCACCCACTATGTGGTAAGGGCACAAAACCTTTGAGTCGTCTTTGTGAAAAGCTTCTCATTGAATCATTGCACTGCATTTGTTGAAGGCACACAGCCGAAGAGAGAATGAAACACTCATTTTTGACCACTCTTGTGGCTTTGGAAAACAGTCAGTGTACCATGAAAGGGTTACACAATTTAAAGTGGTTGAATTGTCCTCATTGTGTTGTCAATAGATCCGCAGTTGTATCTTGTCCTATAAATTTAGCATAAACAGACAAACAGGTCATTCCTTCAGAGGATGAGAATCTCTGTTGATTAAGTGAGGCTCAGAACACTTTGGAAAACTAAACTGCAACACAGATGTAAATGTTATGTTGCAAAAAATGAGCCACCCACCCACTATGTGGTAAGGGCACAAAACCTTTTTCTTCGTGAAAAGCTTCTCATTGAAGCATTGCACTGCATTTGTTGAAGGCACACAGCCGAAGAGAGAATGAAACACTCATTTTTGACCACTCTTGTGGCTTTGGAAAGCAGTCAGTGTAGCATGAAAGAGTTACACAATTTAAAGTGGGTGAATTGTCTGCATTGTGTTGTCAATAGATCCAATCTGTCTATGTCGAAATACTAGGTGGTTGTAAATCAGGACAGGCCCCAAGATTGTCATGAGAGAGTGCTGAAACTACCAGAGGATAAGTCTGGGACTTCAGACCTGGCACGCTTCCTACCAGCCTGGCTAGGCAAGCATGATAACAGTTCGGCAGGCCATCTTACTCACAAGCTCCCTCATGAGCTTGTCTCAAATGTGCAAGTGACGGTAAGCACGGCTGCCAGGGGCCCAGAGCGACATCCCTGAAGAGGTAGGGCTGGAACTACCCATGGTCCATTTGGTTCTGAGGAGAGTATTCAGAGATCTGGGCTCCAAGAACTACACAAGCAAAATCAGACTTGGGTTCATTTTGTTCCTTCCACACTGCCCATGTCTGTCTTGACCAAGGATGTAGGCTGATAATGCAGTCTCCTGGGGGTCCCAAGCATCCAGCCAGCTCCTGGGTGTCTTGAACTCCATGCCCTCATAGTGACACGTGTTCAGCTAGGCTCAGCTTTCCATCTGTGAATGGTTGTGACTCTGGTCAAACATCAACCCTGTCCATTCCAGGAGGAGAGGATGCTTTGCCTGGAGAGGACCAGCCTCTAGGCAGCGTTGCTCTCTGCCCAGAATGGGTTTCTTGTGTCAGGAGGCAAATAAATCCCCAGTTCAGTGGCGTCTGCTCCCAAACAAGTGTGCAGGGGATGTTGTAACCCTTCGTCTTTCAGAAAGTGGTTTGGCTTAATATCCTCAACTGTGAAGAAAGAAAGAGAGAGATTGAGATCTACGCAGATGCTTTATGTTTTCTGTCAATATGGATATAGTTCTGCAACATTAAAAAAACAAAACACATGCGGGCTGCACAGCCAGAAGTTTGAGTTTATGTTTCTAGCTCGTATTAAGAGTCTGTCTAGTTGGAAGCCAAAGGACCTGTTTATATGTGCCCTTCTTTGCTCAGCAAATGTTTGAATTTTAAAATAGAAACTTGATTTACTTTTATTCCCCCTCAATTTTTCCAAAATGAGATAAAAAGATGAATAATCTGTCCGTTTCCATTAGTTGAATGTGAAGGCTTGCCATAAAGTTGTATCTCTGTCCAAGTAAGAATTTGTCAGGTGCGTGTCGGACACACATGGACATGCATTGATAGGATGCCTTGATTCCTGTAATTTCCTTTTGGGGCTCAAAGTTGTTTTAAATATGTAACAGTGAGACCTACAGTTCACAAGTGTTGTATTTGGACATCTTAATTGTTACAAATCTGGAAAATTGAAAGTTGTTCTTCCCAAAATGGGTAAGGTAGATCTGGACCACTCAAACCTGTCTCTGGAATGCAGCCGTCTTGTGTGGTTCTCAGTCTTCTCAAACCTGGTGCTGATAACACAGTAGTGCCGGCATGTCTCTGTCTGTCTGTCTGTCTGTGAATCAAATAATTCTTTATTATGGGTGTTTCATTTGACAGACACACCTGCAGAAGATACTGGAATGTGGCAGCTTCCTTTCTGAACAGGAAGCTAGGTAGATCTGGGCCACAAGGCTGAGCCACAAAGCCTTCCACCTGAGTTTTTCCCCCCCACATTCAAGGGTCTGGGGTTGTCTATCAGGTGGGAATTCCAGGACAGAAAATTGTGGGACTTTTTTTTTAGTACAAAAAATATATCTGAAAACCCCATGATTCAGAGTGTTGATTTCTGGTTTGCTTTATTTAGCTCTTCAGATGCAGCTTGTTCAAGCAAAAAAAAAATGTTTTGTGGGTTGCCTGGTGGAATTAGCGATGCTGTGTGATGCAATTAATGATGTGCTGTCAAGTGGATTCTGACTTACAGCAACCCTCCTGAGGGCTTCCCAGGGCTAAGGTCCTCCAAAGGAGGTTTTTGCAGTCAGTTCCTCCTCCTGGTGGCCCTCTGGGATCACTGCCCATTTTGCCCAAGGTCAAGGTGTGATACAAGGGGATCCGGGCAGGCCACTCTCTTAGGAAAGGTAGAGAGGGGGTTTGAACTCCTGACTTGGCAGCCTGTTACTCCACCCACTGAGGTCTACTAGCTGTTGGAGAATGCTGTGTTTAAGAGGAAGATGAGCCCAAGTTGCTAAAGGACTAGAGCTGAGTCGTTGTTGCATTCTGGTTAGAGCTGAGCTGTACATTGTTCTCCAAATCCCCGGATCACCATTTTCTCAGTGATTCTGGGAGTTACGATCTAAAAGCAGAGTTTTCCAGGCACTGACGTTTTTTAATGCGTTTGATGGTTGGCCCTGGGCACTTCCCAAGCTTGAACGCTCTGTGGCCTGGCAGAAATGCCTGCCTGAAGAGTCCTGTGCGATCTTTTTTCCTCTCGGGCTCCCCGTGGAACCATTGTGGATCTGTCTCGTCCATGGGAAACGTAGCCCTTTATGCGGGCTGAGCTTAAGGCTGTTGAGAGAACATGGGGCATTTTGCATTTGTTTGATGTAAAATATTTATATCCTACCTCCACCCCATATGAGGTTCTCCAAGAAGCTCACAAGATAAGCCAAAACAAGCTTCTGAGAAGGGTTTCGGTGCAGGTTGCAGCCTTTGTGTGGCTGCTTGGAGGCAGTTTCTGGAAGGAAAGGAAATGGTGGCTTAAAGCATTTTCCACATGACAAATTCTAGAAGCAGCGGGCCTGCTACCACCAAGGGGGTTTCACCGTTTACATTGTAAGTGACTGAACTGTCAGACGTCTCTTCTGCATTATGATTTTCTGAAATATTCCTTTCCCCTCCATGGTATAGATGATAGAAGATGTGCTGGGGGAAGGCTCTGTCTCAGCCAGTCGGTTCAGCCGCTGGTTTTCTAATCCTAGCCGGTCTGGAAGCCGTTCGAGTAGCCTTAGATCTACGCCCCACGAAGAGCTGGAGAGATTAGCAGGTAATCTCCTCTTGTCCTCTCAGCCACCATTCTTGTTTTCTTCTAGAAAGCTGCAGGACTTTGAGGCCTCCTACGTTGGGCAGTGGCCTGCTTATTTATTCTGAGGCTTGAGCATCCGAAGTAACTCCTGACTCCATGGTTCGGGGTGTCCTCGAGAGAGAGAGAGAGAGAGAGTATGAAAGGTCTTGCCATTATCCTCTCGAGTTGCTGAACAGAGGAATTTATAAGGCAGCCGTCCTGGTTTTTACTGTTTCAGGTCTAGAGCAAGGCGCTCTGTCCCCCGGTCAGAACTCTGGAAACTACTTTGCTCCCATTCCTTTGGAAGACCAATCTGAAAACAAAGTGGACATCTTAGAGATGCTACAGAAAGCCAAAGTCGACTTAAAACCCCTCCTCTCGAGTCTCTCAGCCAACAAGGAGAAGCTGAGAGAGAGCAGTAAGTCTTCCCCTTCCGCTGTTGTGATGCCGCCGGGTGCACCCTTGGGCAAATGTCGGTTCGACTGCCAGGCTCTGGTTTCTCAACCCTGTGAAGGACCAAGATTTCCTTCCGCAGTTCCTGCGAATCTCTGCGTTGCTGTGGGGCCGCCGTGCTCTTCTCGGCATGGTGGCCGCAGGGTTAATTCCTGGAACAGAGAAGGTTTCTCTTTCTGTCCTCCCTTCGCCCCCCGAATCCGTTTTCAGGTTGGAGGGATGCGGCGAGAGTTCGTGAGGACTGCCAGGCTTGCCCCTTGACCAGCCCTCCTCGCTCCGTGTGGGCTTCCCAGGTTGGCCCTGCAGCCTCAATCCCCTAAGCAAAACTTTAAGCAAACCAATGTCTTGGCAAGGGAGTGCCCCGGGCTTTCTAGGCCAAAACCTGTGAAACTGGGTAAAGCAAAAGAGCGATGACTGGGCAGTACCTGACTTGGCCGCTCCTGTCAGGAGGGAGGAGTTGAATTGCTTTCAGGATGAATTCTGCTGGCATCCGATCATGTCGTTCCTGTTGGTTATTCTATTTTATTTCTGGTGGGGGGAGCATTTTAAAACTGCATGTAGAGCTTGAGGACTTGCATGTATCTGAAGCTGTGCGCATGTGGCTTGTGCATGTTCCAGAGGCTCTTTTGCATGTAGGGCCTAACCTCCAGTCGTTTCAAAATCTGCTGGGAGAGATGCGGCTAGCAGGTGCCGGAATGCGGACACACGGAGCACCGTCAGGGTCTGCCTCTTTGCTTTGCGTGTCCTAATGATTATGAAGAGCAGACATTGGCTTTCTGTTTTCTCTCCAGGGATAACTAAAGGTGCATGCTTGCTAGGAAGCTGGGGATCCCTGCCGTGGGACCTCGTTTCCAAGCTAACGCTCAAAACTTCCTCTCTCCTGTCTTCTCCCCCCCCCTTGCTTCAGCTGGCAGCATCTGCTTGTTGCAAGAAGATCCATGCCTTGAACCCTTGCTTCTGTTCTGCATAAATGCTGGACATCTGAACTGCAGCCTCAGATGCCCAGTTTGTTCTGCAGCCTGTAATGCAATTGAGTTGCTGCTACAGAGGTGCATTCACAGATTCCCTTAGATTTCTGTTCAGCCTGTAATGCAATTGAGTTGCTGCTACGGAGGTGCATTCACAGATTCCCTTATATTTCTGTTAAGGGACTCTGTCACAAGGTTGCTTTCCATTTCATAATTCTTCTGTGTTCCATCATCCTCTCTCCACTGGTTGCAAGTATCTTCCCGAGTGGATGTCACTAGTGTGCAGAGCATTATCTTCTTAGTGAAGCCTATTTAATAGTCTCATATGATCTGTGACCGGAACTTTGATACCAATTCCAATGTCACCAAGCATTCTGGGCCTCCCAACTGTTTTTCCCTGGCAAAGGCTAGCGATTGATACGAAGGGAAAACACAGCAGTATTAATGCCAGTTCATAAGTTGGCGGTAGTTTGGACGTCTTGTTCGGTTGGATGGCGGTAGCAGCCACCAGCTTTTCTAAACCAGCCTTCTCCCACCAGCTGATTTGGCCAGTGGTGGGTGGAAGGCTGACAGAGAGGCAGGATCCTGGTTTGGAGAAGGCAGGTCATGGAGGAGCAGTGGAAGCATCCGAGGAAAACAGACAAACCCATAAAAGGCCTAACAGAATCGCCAGCTTCCACAGAGCAGAGAAAGCATGTGAGTTGTTACCGTTAAGTCCTCCAAAGGCAATCTTGAAATGGGAGAGAGGCTTAAATTATGAGCCCAAAAGGTCTCTGTGCCTTTTGTGAGAGCAGCCGCTTAATTTCTGTTCAAAAGCTTCTGGAAGGAGTGACTGCAACTCGTAACTTGCAAGTCTGGAGTCTTAACTTCCACTTCAGTGCTGCCAGGCTTCCGTCCTTGCATCGCCTTGGGAGTCACTCCTGTTTGAATAAGGTGCTGGAGCAAAGATGGAACTTGGTTCAGATTCCTGTGCTGTTCCTTTCTGTAGCTCTCGCTTGCAAAGCATGTGGCTGTCTGTGCGCGTGCATGTGTTCTTGGACTGCAGCTCTGGCACACTTGGCCAGCAGTAGCCGGCGACTCGCAGGGATTGCAGCCCAGCAGCCTCGGGACATCCACGCGTTGCTCAGCCCTGAGTGTAGCCCCTGCGTTTATTCTGTAAAACTGAGCCCCTGGTTCTGTGTTGTTCTTCCTTCCTCCCTTCCTTCCTTCAGCGCACTCAGGAGTTGTGCTTTCAGTGGAAGAAGTAGAAGCTGGGCTGAAAAGCCTGAAAGTGGATCAGGAGGGGAAGCCCGCGGCCCCCTTAATGGCAGAGCAGGTGGAAGACGCCCGTGGCATAAATGACTCCCGGCATGTTAAGGACGGCGACATGTCTGCTTTCAACAAGCTAGTCAGTACCATGAAGGCGAGCGGGACACTCCCTTCGCAACCCAAAGTCAACGTAAGTCTCCTCTGTTGGGTAGTGCTGAAAAGTTAAGCGCTCGGCCGCGCCAGGCCTTGTGGTGGGAACCAAATCACTGCCATGCAGAGACACCTGGAGCTTGGTTGGGAAGTGGAAGACATGGGGTGTGTCTGGGATTTATTCACCAGTTTTTCAGCCCAGGTAGCTTTGAAATCAGTGGTATGGTGTGTGAAGCAGGGTGCCAGAACAGCTGGAGCACAGGAGAAACCGAATGCAGCTTTCCACCTAGCCTCCAGATTTTAAGCCTTTGGGTGGCAGTTGGACCTCTGGGGCGTGCGTTCTTCAAACAGCATACCGTTCCTGTGAAAAGACTCCCTTGTTTTGGAAAGATACAGATCCTGACCATGGCATAAATAGATAAAGGAGTGCATATTGTTTTTCCTTGGAAGTAACAGGAAAATTCAGAGCCATGGGTGCCTGGAGGGCTTCTCAGAGGTTCTCTGCAGCCTTGCAGGAGAGACCACACAAAGACATTCATGTGGTCCCTGTGGGAATTACCTTGCCACCTATCCTGCGGGTATTGCATCTAAAGCAGCCTCGGGTTCCCTTTCAAAAGCACACACAGACAGAACTGCTGACCTGAAACAATTGACCTGACTTTCTTACTTCTGGACTGCTTGAATCTAAGAAAATACTTTGTGGCCTGTGCATAGTTTCAGGTTTCAGTGGTGCCTTCCACAACTTATGTTGTTAGAGAGGTCACGGCAGAAGGATTGAACCCCTAAGATCCATTAGCTGTATCAGAAACCTGTTCCTGTTTGTTGATCCTGATCCGCTTCATGAGGCTTCTCCTTGGGGTCGCAGGCATGGGGATGGCTGTGATAACTGCCAGCGTTTCAATACCATTACACAGCTGGGTCTTCTAATCTTACCCAGTAACATGGGGAGTTAACACTGGGGTCCCTTGCTCATTGCTCTTCTGGCTTTTTTTTAAAAAAATATCTTTATTGTCGCTGCTTTGTTATGTGGCATTAATAATAAAAAGAAGGAAAAAGGCATTATCGCCACATGTGGTGGGCAAAGCAATGGTGGTGCGAAGAAGGACTCTTGAGGGGCAGATGCTGCTGCTTGTTGCTGCTCAGTCTCCTCTCTTGCCATCCTTCAAGGAACGCTCCATCCCTCCAGAGGCTGGCTTCTTCAAAAGGGAGATTAAGTACGTGGTGGAGAGGAAGGGCCTGAAATTTTAACATGGCAGAGCTCAAAGGGTCCTTAGTTATACCTAGCCGAGATGCAGAGGAAGCCGCCGGCTGAATATGTCTCACGACTGCTCTCATGTCTGAGAGCAGAGTCAGCCAAATAATTCCCAGCCTCTCGTAACCATCAGCATTGGTTCAGTGAAGTGACCCTTGGAAATCAGCTAGAAAAAGAGGTGATACACAGTGTTGGCATCCTGGATGTTGGGCTGAGCAGAAAATTACTCTCTGCTCTTGTGGTGGTGGTTGGTTTTTAAAATCCAAGGTGACCGGGAGAGAAGCTCTCTCGGCAGCCTTTCCTAGCCTGAACAGCTCCTTGAAAGCCGACCGTAGTTCTCTGCCGAAGAGAGGATGGTCACAGTCTCGACTAGGTGTTGCATACTTTTGTCTGCACTTTTCTGGCGCTTGTCATGATTTGTTTGAAGAGGACTGTGTGATTTCCACAAGGAACGAGGTGCGAGTCCCCTCGGGGATATTCTTCCGTTTCTGTCTTAAAATGGCAAGCTGACTCGGGTGCCTTTAAAGCCGGGTCAGGGTCACCAGCCTGCCTGCAGAAGGGAGAAATCGGTTCTTGTTCTTCTCCTTGCCTCACTGCATGCGGTGGTGGACACCACTAGAGGGTTGGGGAAGGTGGAGGCTGCCTGTGAGAAGCTGCTGCAAAGGTGGTGCCATTTTCTTTTCAGCAAACCCTTGAGAGCCACTTGATGTCCCCTCCCGAGATGCCTGGGCAGCCTGCCACAAAGAATATATTGCAGGTACAGTAATAGGGAGTCCTTCACGGGCCAAGAGCGGCCTTGCCAGGGGCCGGGTGGCGGCAGTGGACTCTTCTGGTTAAAAGCATTTCTGAATTTCAGAGAGAGTGCGTCGGTGATGCCCCCGGAAGAGGAGAGCTCTGCCACTTCCTTAGGCCCTGCCTTTGGCTGGCCATGCAGAGATCTTCAGCTACTGTTTGTGGCTCAAAAGGGTAGAGCTTGTGGTGGGCCATCTTAGTCAGCCTGGCTCTGCATGGGGTGGGGTGGGGGGCTGATGTCCTGCTTTCCGCAGAAGTTTGGGGTCCTTTTGGGGAGAAAGGCGGGATAGAAATATTTTTAATGAAATAAATAAATAAATGTTGGCCTTCCAGACCTTGTTTTAATAATCTGAAGGAAAAGCTTTCCCCCCCCCTCCCCGATCCTCTGTGGACATTTCAGCGTGGTTGGACCAGATTTTTATTCCGCACATCTTCTTTGACTTTTGTCACGTGTGCTGCTGGGAAGACCTTGAGCCTGCCCTTGCCTTCATGTCTTCCTGACCATAAGAAGGATATCCAATAACTGTGTTTCCTCCAAGGAGATCCTCGGGCCTCCCGCCAACAGAACGGCACCCTCAAACGTCCTCAGCACGCTGATGAGTGGCCTGGAACCCGTCTCTTCCCTCCTCGGCCAGAGGGCACCCTCTCCGCCGCAGCCTCCCATCTCACAAATGTTCCCGACTCGAGCTGCTTCGGCTGACTACCTGAGGCATCGCATTCCCTCCCCAGTAGGTAAGACCTGCCTCGGACTATGTGAAGTTCCATGTTTTGTTTGCCTGCCGGGTTCCTGCTCCAACTGGACGTTTCCTCCCCATATCAGTGGGCCTGGATTCTTAATAATCCTTTGGACCCAAATAGTGGCTGACTTGCTCCTCTTCATGTGTTTCTGCACTGTCTTCCTACAAGGGTTTCAAAGCTGCCCAGAGGACCAGCTCTGCTACTGGGTGGGCGGGTGGATGGATGGATAGATAGACAGATAGGATTCCCACATGACAAAAGAATGTCCTTCCTTCGATACTGTCGTGCCTGCTGACCCTATTGGTTTCCTGCTAGCGCCACCTTCCTTGGGTCATAGCAGCCTTAAGGAGCCCCAGGGATGGTGTGTCGCTGGGAAGCTACTCTAAAAGGTCTTCCAGGACCTTTCAGGGGCTTTTCAGGGGCAGTGGCACCCGTTTCTGCCCTGCCAGCTATGAGAGGTCACACTTTTCCTGCAACAAAACTGTGCAAGAGTCAAATGTCTGCCAGGCAGATATTGTCACAACTTACAAGTGGGCAAAAAAGAGAGGTGGGTAGAGGGAAGCATCACCTCCCCTGCAGGGTTCAGTAAACTAGAAGGCTGTTGGATCCCGTGATGCTGAAACTAATCACTGTCTTTGCAGGATTTGGGCCGGGTTCTCAGCAGCTGCTTGGTGATCCCTTTCAGGGGATGCGGAAGCCCTTGAGCCCAGCCACGGCACAGGTGAGTGCGGGACCGGCTCTTAGATTTCAGGGTCTAGGCTGGAAGCAGGGTCTGGAGCAAAGCATTTGAAAGAGAGCCAGAGGGCACCTTCCTCGTTGTAACCGTCTCTTCTTAGTAAGATGGAGAGGAGGGTGCATTTGGTCCAGTGAGGTTCCTGCCGTGTAACATTTCTCCAAGGGGAGGGCCTTCTGGGCTGGCCCAGGGGGAAAGAGGGGCACTTCTGCCTCGTGTGATGGGGGTGGCCGGTGAAGCGAGAGCTTTCTTTCATGCTGGCATGCATGGGAACTGCAAATGGAAGGGGCCTGTAAGTCCGCCAGGATGCCAGGGCCTCCACGAGAGTTGAGAGATGTTGGAAAGAGAAAAAAAAATGTTACCTAGAGAACTGGAGATGGGGCTGTGTAATGAGCAAAGATCCTGCCTGAAGAACCTCCTCCACTTTGGGCACAAATCCGGGCGGGGCTCCCCTTGAATTAAGACAATTCGTTGTTGTTCTGAGGCTTCTTTCAGCTATCAATTCTCCTCTAGGAGGAGGGACTTAGCAGATGAGTTTAAACCTTACCGCCTGGTGTGTAAAGCCCCTCTAATGAAAAAGCCTGTGAGACGTGTGACCAACTGCTAATCTCGTTAGAGTTGACGTGCCACGCTAAATAAACAGCTCTGAGAACACCCCTGTTCCTCAGTGCCCTTGGAAATTACAACAGTGGGGCAGCCATGTTAGCCTTGGGTTGGTTCCGGGGACCCTTTTTTGATGAATCCAGGGAAGTAAGCTGCAGTTCCTAAAACGTTTATGCCGGACACAACATGGATACTCTCTGGGGTGCTTCACGGCCCTTGGTTCTGGCTCCATTCTCCTCCCAACAGGGAAAAGATGTACAGCTGTATCTTATGTTTTACATCAGGCAAATAACCAGGCATAGGACAGGATTCTTAGAACCACAGAATAGTGAAGTTGGAATGGGGCTATAAGACTATCAAGTCCAACCCCCTGTTCAATGCAGGAATACAAATCACAAGATTATCTGTGAGATGATTGTCCAATTTTCTCTTGAATGCCTGTCTCCAATGTTGGAGCCCTCACCACCTCCCGAGGCCACTGGTTCCGTTGTCATACTGCTCTAACAGTTAGGAAGTTTTTCCTGATATTCAATGGAAATCTGGCTTCTTTTAACTTGAGCCCGTTGTTGCGTGTCCTGCACTCTTGGATGATCGAGAACAGATCCTGCCCCTCCTGTTTGACTACATCTCAAGTATTCTAAAAGTGCTATCCTATCTCCTCTCAGTTGTTTTTCCTCAAGGCAAAATGCGCCCCAGTCCTTTCAGTCTTTCCTCATAAGGCTTGGTTTCCAGCCCCGATCATCATCCTTGCTGCCCTCCTCTGAAGTGGTTCCAATCTGCTGGCATCCTTCTTGAAGTGTGATGTCCAGAACTGGACACATTACTCAAGAGGAGGTCTAAATAGTGCTGAATAGTGGGGAACTAGTACCTCACAGGATTTGGAGACTATATTTCTGTTATGCAGCCTAAAACAGCATTTGCCTTTTTTGTAGCCACATCACACTGTTGGCTCATGTTCAGCTTGTGATTCACAGGAGAATTTGAAACAGAAGAGGCAGAGCAGTAAAACAGCCTTGCTCATTCCTTAATCACTGCTCCAATGAATCGCTTGGCTGAGTAGCTTGTATGGCTCCATAGATCAAGGATGAAACAGCACAAATACTGTGTCATAGGTGACTCTTACCATCTGGTGGAACCGTGAGGGTGGCAGTCACGTTAGCACGAAGCATTTTAATGCTGCCTTTTAGTCAGTTGTGCTTTTTTCCATGCTGTGACATGGGAATGAATGGAAGCCCTTGTGATTTCAGCTGAGTCCACTGGAACTACAACAGGCTGCCTTGGAGGGACTCTCTCTCCCCCACGACCTGGCCATGCAGGTGTCGCACTTCTACCAGCCGGGCTTCGGCAAACTGCAAATGGACAAAACCAGAGATGGATTCAGGAACAGGTGAGCCGGAAGTTCAGGTTGGTGGCTGGGAAGAGAGAGGGAACGCCAGGTCAGCTCCGAGGTCCCTGCCAGCCTCTGAAGGGAGTTGCCCCCCCCTTGGGAGGGGGGCGCCTGCAGCTCCGTTCAGGGAAGGGCAGGAAAGAAGGCAACCATTAATCTGACTCTTACTCACAGGCCGCAACGCATGGCTAGATCTCCGGCCTCCCTGGGCCCAAGAGGGAATGCGGCGTCTCCTCCAGCCTCTGCTGCTTCTGTCACGAGCATGGTTAGTCACCAACAGCGGCCTTTGCGGGAGCTGGAGGGCCTTCTGGTTGCCTGGCAAACACAAAGAGGAACCGGGGGGGGGGAGGAAATGGGGCGTCCCGAATGCTGTTCCCATGTTCTGCCAAACAGAAGGCTTCGGAGACCGGGTGAAACTTGAGAGGGAACCCTTTCTGATTCGGGAGCCTGGCTCTTTTGTCATTGGAAGCCTTCCTCTGCCTAAGCCTGCCTGGTTGTGCCCTTCTAAAGGTCAGCAGAAGGCAGATCCTCCTCGGCTCTGCCTTGTGTTACTGAGGCCCCGTGGGATTCGCTGATTGCTGGGTTTTTGCTTGACACTTGGGGCAACTGATTGCTGGCACGTTTGTTTCTTGGCAGCTGTCTCCTTCCTTTACCCCGACCTCGGTGATACGCAAGATGTACGAAAGCAAAGACAAAACTAAAGATGAACCCAATCACGTCAAGGGGAAAGGCAGTGAGAGAGACGAGAATCTCAGGACGAACGAAGGTATGTTGTGACTGGGCGGGGGGAGCATGGTCAAAGAGCAGCCCGGCGTAAGGATCGTGCCCGGTTCCATGGGCAGCCGTGCCTTGCCTCCTGCCGGGGGAGGGGGGCTCTGAGTGACTCTCCTGGGTCTCTTTCCAGAGAGCCTGCTGTCTTCTCGGTCCGCAGAGCATGCCGATCAAGAGAATGCACCCTCCCTCGGCACCAGGCTGGCCACCCTGCAACGTTCGGCCTGTTCGACGCCCCTTTCGCAAACCCATCGTGGCACAAAAGAGCAGGATTTCCGCCCAAAGTGCACTGGAAGGAAGAGCCCAAACGTGGCCTCCCCAGGACCAGGGACGACCTTTCTCCGCCCAGTTCACCAGGTCCCCCTCGTGCCTCACGTCCCAATGGTACGGCCGGCTCATCAGCTCCCACCAGGCCTAGTCCAAAGGATGCTGGCCCAGGGAATCCACCCGCAGCATCTCCCGCCTCTGCTGCAAGCAGGTGAGCCTGGTGGGGGTTCCTGGGGGGGGGGAGAGGTGTGATCCGTGGGCGCCCACCCGCTGCCTATGGCTGGAATGCCCCCAGCAGCCTCTTGCCTTGAAGACTTCCGTCAAAGGGGGAGCTCACAGGAAGAACGCGCTGTGTCAGATCAGCACTTCAGCATTACATATCACTGCAAAAACCAGGCCCTCGGGTACAGCCCGCTATCTCACAAGGGTGGCTATTGCCCTGCCAGTTCAGGCCCCTTGTATCTGGGATGTAGCAGAGAATTGTAAAGGAGGGTGTATTTTCAGCAGTTTATCTGCTGCAGTGGTTGGATTTGCACATCTTCTACTCATCAACCTCTCTTCTCTTGGACAGGTATGATTGCTCCCGGGGTAGACCTGGCCCACCTGCAGGGGATGTCGACGGCTTCCATCCTGGGTCAGCCTTGCTACCCACTTCCAACCGCTGGCCATCCTCTTTTGAACCCTCGCTCTGGGACACCTTTGCATCTGGCCATGATGCAGCAGCAGCTACAGAGATCAGGTAAGGAGTCCCTGGATCCCTGGCATGAATCAGCTCACCTTTTGAAAACTTTATAAGGTGCCCCTCCCCTGCCTGAGAGCTCTAGCCATTCTCCACCTCCCCTGTAGCAGCCAGCAGGGAGGAATCATCTGCTTCCCAGCCCCTGGAGTCTGGGGCCTCCCGGTAAAGAAGAGGCCCAAATAGAGCGAGCAAGAGAATTGTTTTGTTAAAGAAAACCATTCCTGTTCTGGATTGCTTAAGAGAAGGAACGGGTGGCTGGTCTTTGGGTGAAGAGATGCTGCAGACAGTTTCAAAGCCTATTAACCGGCTGTATGGTTTTATTAACCAGTGTGCTGAGCAAAGATTCAAGCAGGGGTCATGCTCTCTCTGGTGTCCATGGCAGAAGCCCTCTAGGCAGCCACTTGGAAAGGCCCCTCTTCCTTCGGCCCCCTGGCCCGGAGCAGTGCAGCGCTCGTATTCCTCACCTTTGGCCGGTGTTGGTGAGAATTTGCAGTTTCTTGAAGGCATCCTGTTCCCCAAGGCGGGGCCAGGCCTTCCTCCTTGATGGGGATTTGGGAGCAGGTGTCCTGTAGCCCCCTGTGGCACGGGGGTAATTTGGCAGCTGGCAGAGCTCCCTTGGCTTTGAAGAGCTCGGGCTCTTGCCAGCCTCCCTCAGCCAGGCCACTTCGCAAGCTGCGCGGGGGAGCCGTTGCCTCCAGCTGTCTTGTGATCTAAGGAGCGCAGAAGATGGCCACTACTTCAGGGGGTCTCCACTGCTTCCTCTCTGCTGTTCTGTAAAGGCTGAAGGCCAAACCTCCAGGAGGAGGAGGAGGAGTGGAGACTCACGCCCGCACATCGTACTGAAATAAATCAGTATTTGAGGCGCCCTGGACCTCTTTGTGTCTGCTGGAGCCAACCAGTGCAGCTATGGGCCAGAACGGACCCTTGATCGGGGGCCCCCATGTTCTCTCTGTCTCCCCTCCAGGGTCCAGCGCCCCAGGGCCTGCTGTCAGCGTGCAGACCCCGCCACCGAACGTGCCCTCTCGGACAGGGCTTGCTCACATGCACTCTCAGCTGGACCCTCGCGCCGGCCAGCGCAGCGGCTCCCCCGTCGGCCTGGCCAAGTGGTTCGGTTCCGACGTCCTGCAGCAGCCGCTCCCTTCCATGCCCTCCAAAGTCATCAGCGTGGACGAACTCGAGTACCGGCAGTGAGCGAGCGGCTGTGGGGCTCTGCCCTGGAGGCTTCCTTGTTTGTTTTGGGGCGCCTTTGGTTTTAGCACTTTGTGCGAGTTCTTTTTTGAGTGACTGTGAAAGCCCCCGGTACCTGTCCCAGCTTCCTGGTCTATGTCCAGATGGAGGAGAATCTCTGACAGACCGAACTGGGAACCCTGAAGAATCTTGGATGCAAAAGAGTGCCAGTTTAGTTCTGGAAGCATCTGCCTTTTGGTTTGAATTTTTTTTTTTTTTTTTTTTTGTAAAATATGTGAATGAAGCACTGACGTCCTCTGGGAGTAGAGGGTTGCAGCCGAGGGGTTCCTCACCGGAAATGAAATGTATAGAACCTTGTGTACATACAGTCCAGTGTACAAACCTCTTTTTTGTATATACCCACAGGATAGCCTTTTTCAAACCTATACAGCTGTACATAAGAGTAGCTAGTAAAGTTAAGCTTTAGTTTATGTGTCTCTGGTTTGAATCTTTTCACTGTACATGTGGGACTTAAGTTTAAGATTAAAGGTGCCGCATTATGTCAAGTGTGAGTAAACAAGGGTGAAGTTGTTTTGCCTCTCTTGCTGTTTCCAACTTTCTCCACGTCCTCGGCCTTTTAAGGTGATGTCGGCTAATGGGGGGGGCGGCCTGCAGGGCCCTGCGTCCATCACCCGTTTCTTCCACCAAAGGAAAGCTTGAGAAGTCATGTCTGCACTTCATGTTGGGACCTGCAGTGTCACAGGTCCTGTCCGGAACGTGAGCTTCTTGATGTTCCTAGTGACTTGCTTTAGGCTGTTTCAGTAAAACCACCACTGAACACAGCTCTTCTGCCCCGTCTGCAGTGGGGTGGGTCTTTGGCTCGTTTTTTCCACTAGCCAAGGTCTGAAGCTGAGCTTTTCTAGCAGCCCCACCCCTCCTTTTTCTGGCTCTTCGTCACTAGTAGCACTAATGACCGGTTTCCCCTCCCCATGCCATGGGCGATCTGGGTGATCCAAAACATTTGGGAGGCATGACCCCCTCGGTTTGTCCACAATGCCTGAAATCCGTGGCAGAACACTGGAATGTTTTGTTTTAAAAAAAGAAAGAAAAAAGCAGAGATAATATGTTGTGGTCACAGAATCCTTTTCCTTGTAATATTGTTTCATACTTTTTTTTAAAGTGAAAATTGCCCCCGATTCATTTTGTAAATAAAGTCAGTTCTATGAGATTTCTGTCTAGCTGTATAAAGAAGACATTAGTCTTTTAAGAGCTGCTGTCCACGCCAGCTGCCCTGAGGAGGATGACCAAAAGAGCTGCCTCTAAAAGGTGGCCTCCGGTGAGGAGCAGCCATGGAGTCTTTCAGCTCGCTGGAAGACGGGTGTGTGTGTGTTACAGGACAAGAGAGGTTGGTAAGGGTTTTTGTTTTTTATGGCCGCCTTCAGCATCTAGCTAATCCTCTGGTTGAGTTTCAGCTTTGCAAACAGGCCAAGGTGTGTCCTGAACCCTGGAGCAGGGAGCAAAAAAACAAAGGAGTAGATTTGGTTCATGGCGGACGGCAGCCGTTGAGGGAGAAGCCTATATCGCCACGGCTGAAACAGCTCTTCAATTATCCAGTTAGATTTTCAGCTTTGGGACTGTGGGTGGGGTAGAGGGAGGCGACTGCAAACAGCCGACCCGGGATCCCTCTCCTTGGCCCCCTGTGGCAGTGTCTCCTCCATTGGGCACGTGCAGGATCTGTTTGACAATAGAAAGGGGGGCAGAAGGCATTCAGGCAGAGGAGAGTTTGAACAAAGGCTGGCTGTAGATGTGGAGTCATGCTGTGTCGCTCCCCCTGTGGAGGGCTGGACAAAGTAGGGTGATCCAGATGTTGAGGAAGGCTGAGAGCTGTGGGTGAACATCTGGAGGGCTGCACCTGGCGGCCCTCTGTTTTGAGGCAGACTTGAACATATTCCCCCATAGATACTGAGGCCGTTGAGCCTGGATCTGGGGCATATTGGTCATATCTCCCCTATCTGGGAGAAACAGGGAGGCACCAAGCACCCTGCCTGCAGCTACCGGACCCATGCAGTCCTCCTCTTCCGTACTTATGTGGCTAACAGCATTCACCATAATAAAATGCTAGGATGGGCAGGAGACGAACCAGAATTGGATGCCTCAGGCGGGTCCTGGTTTTTGGAATGCCCGCTGGGCCACCCCTTTCCTCACCCTCTGGCAAACACTTGTAGGTGAGGTTCTAGTAATGCAATTTTTAGCTAACCTCCCCCCCAGCCCCCATTTGGGTGGGGGGAGACACGTAACCCTCTTTGACCTTCCCATTCAACCTTTTGTCTCTTTAGCAAAACCCCATTTTGCAGAAGCTGTTTGAATTCTTAGCGCTTTCCTTCTGAACAGACCACTTTGAGACGTGGCCTGTACTTCCAGATCCAAAAATGCACTTCCTGCTATGCTCGGAACCTGTTCTCACTTACGGCCAGAGAATGACCCCCCCCCGCCCGTTTACTGTGTTCCCCAACAGACTCCCCAAGGACTGGGCCGTTTAGGGCACTTTGAAAGGTTCCTGCAACCTAGCTTCAGTGTGGGCTAGATCTTCCCTGTGCAGCCAGCCCTCTCCCTTCCCCTCGCCTACTCTCCTTAAGGCAAGAAGAGGAGGGAGAGAGAGGAGGAGGACCACCTGCCTAATAAACCCCCTCAGGGGAGAAGGTCTACTGCACGCACGGGGTCTGCATAAGCCAGTCAGCTGACCAGATGAGCCACATCTAGCATAGATGGCATTTTCACATTCGCTCAGGCTCCCTCCACGCTGGGGGTGGGGGTTTTTTTGGCAGTCTTTGGGCCGCCTCCAGAGCTGCCCTGCCCCACCGGCCTGTGGAGCACTGGGGGGGGGCGGGGGGGCTTTGCTTTAATTTGAGTAGGACTTTGGGGTGGGTCGGTTTTTCCTTTTTGAGACTGGAAGCAAATATTGAGATTGGAAACCAAAGCAAAGCCATGACATGAGTTGGCGAGATGCCACCAGCAGGATCTCTTTGGGGGTAAAAATGGCCCCTAGAAACGGTCCCTGGCCTGTGGGGCCTTCTCTTCGGGTGCAAGAGCACAGCCGTCTCCCCATGGACCTCAATCACAGTGCTCCTGTTTCCAGAGAATAATCAGATTTTAATCAGCCCCACGCCCCAGACAGCCACCTTCCTTCTCCCCCACTCTGCCGGCTCATGTTCAGACAGCAGCCTCCGCGTGCAGCCATTCAGCATTAGCATCAAGCCTGCCTCTTCCAAGGACCTTGCAAGGGGGGGTGGGTGGAGGCGCTCAGGACAAGTTGGCCAGAAGCCCTTTTCACTTCTTCACAATTTGAATGACGTCCTCGTCCTCCAGCGTGTGGTCTTTCCCAACTTTCTGTGGGTTGTGCTTGACCGAGGAGCCCCACACGAGAGCGCTGGAAAGAAAAAGAAGATGGGTTGGAGGCTGGCTTCTTCAGGGAACTCCTCCTGAGCTCCCTCCTCCCTGGACTGTCTCTACTCATTCCACAGGGGATAAGAAAACTAAATGACGTGAAGACGACCGGCCCCTCCGGCTCGGAGGGGAAAAGGCTGAGGCAAGGCTATACTTACTATTTAAACTCTTTAATGAGGTTCTTGTGGATCTTCATGCAGAAATCCTCCACGGTGGTCCGGGAGTAAGGCAACACGACGGGAGAGGTGTAATCTGGCAGCTGCCCTTTGGGTTTGGTGTAACTGCAACGTCAAGGGACAGCCATTAAACACACGGCCACCTCTCCTCCCTCACGCCCCACCTTTCCGGCCAGGCTGCCCCTCTACCTTAGGTTCAGCTTCGTCTGACCCAGAACAGGGGAGGGTCCCCTGCAAGCCACACACAGGCGGCAGCTGAAGTTCAACAGCCCCACGGGTCAGCACAGGCCTCTGCAGGAGGACTCCCTTCCTTCCTGGCCCCCTCCTGGCATGGGACACGCAACCCCGACAAAACGCAGCCCACTCCTAAGGTACAAATGAGATCCCGACCACGTGAAGACACTGGTCTGTTGCCCCAGGAGAGAAGCCCCAGGAAAATGGTCCTCCACACAAAAGAAATCTCCAGCCCTTGAATCACAAACCACCCGGGAGAGAGGCCCTTTGCCTAGCACCTTCCAGGGCATCGTGGCCTTCCACCTGCATGGATTCTGATCACCAGGTTCCAAACCAGACATCAATCAACTGAGCATGGAACCTGCCCTTCTCTGACCCCCTGCTCTCAACTCGACATAGAACTGAACCACCCCAGGATGTGCCCAAGGGCTTGACTGACGGCCGCTGAAGCCCTCTGAGGCTTCCCACGCTGGGCCCACAGGCACAGGATGGCTACCACGACATGTGAGGATGGAGGGCAAGGCTCACGGTCTCCTGAGACCAGGCAGGGGTGCCTTTTTTAAAAGGACAGGAACCACGGGCCCTTTTTGACTCCGACCGCGCCCGAGGGGACTCACATTCGCACAAGCTTCAGATAGTCCCATATTTTCTCCAGCAGGTCATCGAAGTTCCACCGGTGGTGAGCAGAGATGGGGACGCAGTGGGGCACCTTGTAAATGATGTCCAGCTCCTCGATGGAGATCTGGTCAATTTTGTTCAAGACATAAATGCAGGGGATGTAGACTCTGCAAAACACGGAGGAGGGAAGGGACCGTTTGGAAGACGCAGCGTTTGCTCCTTACACAGCCCCCCCCACCGCCCAGGGAGGACGTGGGGGAGAGAAGCTCTCCTCCTAGAGGACCAGAACCACAAGGCGCCCAGTGTATTTTGGAATGAGCCCTTCACACGATGAACCCTGTATACCAAGATATAGCAAAGGTGAGTGTTTGCTTGGCAGCCAGAAGGGGACTAAAGGAACAAGCCTTCGCTCGCCGTCAAGCTCAAGAGCTACCCGTTCCATGCTTTTTAGCAGTTACAAGATCCAAACGCAGACCACCCTGCTGCTGGATGTGACCGGGGGGCGGGGGGGAATAGGCATGGCTCTCCATCTAGCAAAACTCTGCTCCCTACACAAGAGAAGATCCACAGCAATCCTAACCACCACCCATCTCATCTCCAGAATCCTGCAGGTATCTGATTTGCACAGTATATATTATATTATATTGTATTATACTATATTATATTATATTACATTATATCGCCCATCTGACCGATGGTCACTCTGGGCAGTTCACAATGATGACAATAACATAAAAACCCCAACATAATCAAAATGCAATTAAATTTCAGCAAAATTAAACTAATATTTGGCAGTGGATGGTGGTTTCCTGGAAGGGAAGCTTGTGGCAGGGGTTCAGCGACGCAGCCCCCCCCCCGGCCCGCCCACTCGCCCAAACGGCCCCCACCGCCAGCCAGGACCTTCCGGCCTGCCCAGCCCTCACCTGTTTCCTTCCACCACATCGATGAGGTCATCGGCAGTCACGTCGCTCCGCAGGGTGACGTCGGCGTTGTGGATTTTATACTCGGCCAAGATGCTCTTCACAGTCTCAGTGTCCAGCTCGCTTTGCGGGCACTGAGTGGAGGTAAAGGAGCAAATTCTGGGGTTTAGCAGCGTGGAGAGAACCATGGAGAACACGACACAGCCTTGTGACACAACATGAGCCTCACAAAGGCCATCTGCAAGATTTGATGCCCCAGAACTGAATACAGCAGGGACGCACGGAGGTGCTCCATCCTGCCCATGCAGTGGGTGCCTGAGAGGGAAAGCTGTGCTTGGCGCACTGGGCAGGAAGGCCTTGCTTAGCACCCCAGCGGTGGGTCCTTTTGCCAGAGCTGTTCTTGAAAGCTCTTTGGGGACGCCAAGTGAATGAATTCCCCCCCCTCACTTGGTAAAAACCCCAAGTGTGTGTGTGCTACTGGCAAAGCTGAGCTCCTCTCTGTGTAAGCCTTGGTCTCCTACTGGGTCAGAGATGAGCAAACGGCGACAGGTGAAAGACAGATCTCGCCCAAAGCAGCGGGATCCTCGTGCATGTCAGGGAGGATCACGGCTGGAGATGGTTTCCGTAACCTCTCAGCAGAAGAGGCACCAGGCACAGACTCCCATCGCCCCAAAGGGGCCACAAAGACGCGAAGAACTCTCTCCTCGTGACTCCGACAAAGCAGAAAAGACACCACCACCACCACCACCCCCCAGCACACTTACAGTGGCTGTCAGGTTGATCCCTCCTTTCTCCTTTTTCTTAAAGCCGATGTTGGGAGGCTTGCTGTTCAAGCGTATCCCGAAGCCTTCCAGCTCGTTTTCAATGATCTTCTTATGTCCGAGAGGCTTCAGAACGTCCAGGACAATCAGGATCAGGTTGCAGGTGCGGGCAACTGGGGAAGAAAGACGAGGACTCCTGAAAAGGTGTTCTTTCCACCTCTCCAAAGAGGCGGGGCATTACTAGTTGGAAATAAACCCATATTTTCATCCCCAGGACAGTGATTGGTTACCCTGATCCAGAATGCAACCTAAAACATGTTCTTCAACCAGAGGCGAGTAAACAATGTTTTTAAAAGGCAGAGAAAGGTTATCCAAATATTAATGTTTTTGTCTCAGTGGCTCAGAATCCCACCTTCCCTGCGGGTCGCTCACACACTCGCACCTCCCGCTGTGACGCACAAGCTCACCTGCTATGACCTGGCGACCTCTCCCTTTGCCATCCTTTGCGCCCTCAATAATTCCTGGAAGGTCAAGGAGCTGCAGGATTTCAGAAAAAGAAGAAAAAAACATTATCATACAGGATTCGCAAGGCAAACTCTACAAGGCTGGTTTCAAGTAATCCACACAACAGAGCTGTGGGTACCTAGTTTGGCGTTTTAAATACTGATATCTGGTATTACAAAAATATAATTTTCATGTTCTTTTTATTATTGTACACTATACAGGAATGTCTTAGATGTGAAATTCTTCCAGATTTGCAAAACACATGTGAATTTACCCTGTCGAAGAAGTGGAAGACCTTGGGGACGAAAGAGGGAATTAAGAATACTTGGCTCTTCTCAGGCCAGTCACGGCTTCTGAGCCCGCTCCATAAATGGAAACAAAGGCTCCCAGCCTGCTTGGCTCTGGCTCACTCACCTGTATTTTGGCCCCTTTGTAGCGAATCACCCCGGGCACGGTGGTCAGCGTAGTGAACTCGTAGGCGGCCACTTCGGAGTACACCCCAGCGAGGTTGCTCAGCAGGGTGGACTTCCCCACGGATGGGAAACCCACAAAGCCGATCCGGGCATCGCCAGTCTTGGCCACATCGAAACCTACAACGTGATCATCAGTTCCAAGTCACCGACGGGCCACAGAAGAACTAAGCACAGCCTCAGTCGGGCCAGGACTCTCCTGGGCAACAACATGGGACCGGGAAAACTGTGCTCTGGGGGAAGCCAAAGGGGAGGCTCATCTCATGGACTCTCCTGGGCAACAACATGGGACCGGAGGCTCCTCTCAGCCTCTGCAAGCTGGTTCTGGACTCCTTGGACCTTCTGAGTTTCAAGACATTTTAGCTACCATATCCCAGAAGGATTTGGCTAAACAAGGCATAGGTTTTAGTGACCATTTTCTATTATGATTCCACAGCTACATTTCAAACATACTGGAATACTTCTCTAAACAGAATATATGACCATTCTCTCAGGTCAAACCAATTCTGCTGGCCTCCTTAGCACAGAAGACCAAACTTTGCTTTTCTGCTGCAGAAATAACTCTTTGTGGGTACCCTGCCCCTTCCTCCAGTCAGGCAGTGCGAAGCTCGGAAGGTTTCGTTCCCAACTCTAAAGTCCTGCTGTTTAACGTGAGGGCTGAACCTTGACCAGCTGCATCAGGAGATGGGGCTGCCGTTTCCCAACACAAACCAACTTGATTTATTTCAACACGTCATAGCTGAGACTAACCATAGCTCAGAAATCCATAATATAAAGGAAAGCTTCCCATCTCCTTGACGCAGCCACCCGAAGAGGAAGAGGAGGAGGAGGAGAGGGTGGTTCATGCACTCCACCCAGACCACAGCTCAGGGCTGCCTTTGAGTCAGGCCAGAGTCTTGCCCGGTGATCCCGATGTCACCCTACAGAAAAGCTCCAACGTTTCCAGGCAGCTTTATCTGCCCGCGGGGCATCATCGAAGAAGGTCCTGGCAGCAGCCCGTCCGGAGGCGCCAGCTCTCCTAGCCTCTACGCCAGAAAGAGACGCTCTCCCTTCCTTTGGCCAGGGATACCCACCTTCTCCGGGGCCACTCCCTCCGCCTCCTTTCGGCGTGATGAGCTCTCGGCGCAGTTTGGCCAGCCGAGCCTTCAAGAGCCCCAAGTGATGCGCCGTGGCTTTATTCTTCTGGGTGCGGGCCATCTGCAGCCGAGAGAGAGGATTTCGCTCAGGGGGAAGGAAAGGGGAAGCCGATCTGCCCAAACCAGAAGTCAAGGTGCGACTCTTACGGGACTGCCAGTGGCACCAACCTCCTTTTAGGGCTCTTCTAGATTTTGAGAGAGAAGCGGCTCAGGGGGTTGGCTCGCTTCTAGTCCCCCGCAAGAAGACTGTAGCGTTTGCTGAGGCCGGTGTGTGGTTCTCCCATCATGGTCTGTTTGGCCAATCTGGGCTGGGCTGGGGGGGGTGTTATGAAGTGCCCAACCCAGGGGGGCATCCTCAGGATTACAGCGGGGCCACCGCTCTCCAGGGAGAAGGGCCCTTTTCGCCCACTTCCAAGGGCAGCCCAGAGAAGAGAAAGGAGCCCAGCCTGCCAAGCCAAAGGGCACCCTCACCCCACCCCAATGGCAGCCCTTTTGCTTTCCAAAGCGCCCAGCAGGGCAAGGGGGGGCAAGTGCCTCCCCCCCCACAAGCCCTGGGGGAACGGGGGGGGGCCCTTCCAAAGGCCACCAAGGCGAGGAGACTCGAAGGCTGGTTTCTGCAGAGTCCCAACAGCCCGAGGAGAAGCCCCAGGCGGCTCTTCTGCGGGACCCCCGCCTGCCCCCCCCAGCCCAGCCCAGCCCAGCCCCCGGGCGACCTGCTCTCCTGCACTCCAGGTCCCAGAATCCCCCAGCAGCCAAAAGAGAGCTGGTGGCGGGGGAGTCGCAGGGAGAAAAGGAAAGCCATTCAAACATCTCAGGGTAGACTGCTTCCACCCAGGGAGGCTCAGCGCAGTGACGGGGAGAGACCCTCCCGCTTCCTCCTGACAGCCCCTCATCATCATAATCATCATCATCCTCGCCCCTTGGTCCTCCAGGGGAAGGGAGCTTGGGCCCCTCTCCTGACGAATGCTGGACTACAACTCCCATCAGCCCCTTACAATCAGGAAGGCGGGTGGGAGAGGGAGTACAACTGTATCCGGGGCGCCCGCAAGCCCTCGCCGGTAGACTGCCGCTGCGGAGGGAGGCTCCACCGACGGTGACGTCACGGTTCCCACCCACCCCCCGCTCCCCAAACGAAACCCATTTCCGCGGACCGGGCTGGGGTCAGAGCCTCCCCCCCCCCGCGCCCCAGACTTACTTCGGCCTCTATCTCGGCGATCTTGGCCAACGTGGTGCTCATGGTGGCGGAGGAACCGGCGGCG